TCTTTGGAGGCAGCGGTGTGAACAGAGCACTGCTGAATGCCTTGACTGGCAGGGGGGCTGCTGGAAACTCATGCCACACATGGTCCATCAGAGTAGCTTCAGGGCTGCTCTGGCTTAGGCTGGTGCTAATTGCCTCCTGGCAGCCTCAGGAGATGCATAGAGACATTTTTGCTGCCTCCTGCTGTCTCAAGCAGTCACAGCACACCTGGGATCACCCTAAGGATGAGAACCTGCATACACCAGAAAGCAAAATCACTGTGCCTTTCCCTGCAAAGTATAAGAAACTCAATTAAATGGGTAGTTGAACCACAAGCCAATGTATGAAATGGACCATGCCTTCAGAGCATTTACATGGCTTCTAGAACTGATTTGGACTGTAAATAAGTCACTACATAGTAATACTTCTGAGTAAGATCAGACTTGAAAAGGGATCATGTATTCTTCTGCCTTTATTATTTCTAGCCCAATGTACTACTCTTGCACTTCCACAGCATCTGCTGTTTGAATATATCTGTCAAGTAAATCTCACAATACTTGGGTAAATCTTAATCCATTAATGAATGCAAAGCCAAGGCACAAAGAATTGATTTATACAATTGTGAATACTAATGAGTATGTACTCCAAGATTATTACATTCCATGCACTTATGAAGACATAAACTGCTAAGAAATAAAATGAGCTGTGTTTCCCAAATTTTTTTTGAGAAATAAATTTGAATATTCAATTATGGGTTTATTACTCTGTGAGTCAGTTTACAGTGATCAGTGGATATAATTTTTAGTATGAAAATGTTATTCGTGCATATTACAGTTCCAGGCATATATTATCCTTCCATGAAAACACTTCAATTTTCAAGTCTTTATGCAAAAGATTGGCCTGTGGGCTCTGCACAGGATGTAAATTAAGTTCTTGTTTGGCTAAATCTGATTACCCTGTAGGGTACCAATCTTGCTTAGTGACAGTGGAAGCTAAAAATTGCAAGCAGGACAGTCCACTTGAAATGGAGCCAGGAAGGGTCAGTTCCCAAACAGCAAATCTGACGTTTGAACTAGATTTTAATATTACCCCTAAGAATGTTCCGTTAAACATAGAAGCTGTCTCCTCCATAGCTGCTATAATTGCTTTTAAATATCATCATGAAATTGAGAAAAGCTCTTCTTTTTTAAGTACAAGTATTTATTAATCATATGTAAAGATGCTGCAATCACTTTAACCCAGCCTTTAGTCAGTCTGCAGTTTAATTCCCATTTAACACTTCCTCTTTCTCCTCTCATATTCTATCAAAATGAATGTTCCAATAGAGAAATTCAGTGAATAGCAAAATGCCACACAGGCTATCTAAACAAATCCATCTAAAGTCAATACAAACTAAAACTATTTGAATATTACCAAAATACTGTTGCTTTATTGTGGACTTACTGAGCACATGAGAGAGAATAAAAAGGCATATGCTGACAGTACTGAATATGAAAGACTGCTGTTCCTTCTGACAGGATTAGCTAAATACTTAAATGATAAGAACACTCCCCTGTATTTTTCCTATACTCAGAAAATGTGCACAGAAAAGTCACTCTTTGATCTATTTTACTAGCTTCAGTTACTGTAGCAGGCTTTTGTATACATAAAAATTTTACTTTTAGTAGTCTTTGGCATCTCCTTGGCTTTCCTTTGATGCATAAAGGTTTTATGATATGTAAAAGCAGCTGGTGCTATTGCAATTGCTCTGAGTCAAGGCAAAAAACAAAAGTAATGCAACATTGTTGAAAATTATATGGCTTTTGGCTGTTCAAAAAATGTAATTATCTCAGTAAATGCATGTGGTTTTTAGTAATGAGATTCAAAATTTCAGACAGATTATTTTTAATAACATCTTTTCACAGTGGTTCTATTAGATACTTTAAATCTATTAAAATCAGATCTCAACACTTGCCTAATAAATATCTCACTCCCTCAATAGGTTTTAGATTAAGGGACTCAGCACTCCACACAGAATCCTAATGAATTTGAAGGGGGAAAAGGATAAAACCAGGCCTGGAGATAGCCTGGGGGCAACACAGCCGTGTCTGAAGGATGGTGTGCTGGGGAGGTCCTTTCATCTGTTGTTTCGTGGAGAATGGGGATGAAGATCCATGTGGCAGCAGTGACACAAAGGATATTGATGTGTTGGAAACCACAGAAGTGCCTGAGAATGATCACATGGAAGAATGAGCACTGCTATTGCTTGACTGACCCGATGTCCTTCTGTGACAAGGTGGTCTGCAGAGAGGATGAGGGGAAGGCTGAGGATGTTGTCTTCTAGACTTCAGTAAAGCTTTGACAGTGATTTCCACAGTATTCTCCTGGAGAAACTAGCTGCCCATGGCTTGGATGGGTGCACTCTTCACTGTTAAAAACAGTCTGCATGGCTGAGCCCAGAGTGCTGGTGGATGGTGCTGCATCCATTGAGCATCCAGTCACAAGCGGTGTTCCCTAGGGTGCAGTGTTGGGGCCAGTTCTGTTGAATGTCTTTATCAATGACCAAGATGAGGGCATCAAGGACACCCTGTCTGCAGAAGACACCAAGCTGGGCAGAAGTGTGATCTGCTGGAGGGCAGGAGGGCTCTGAACAGGCTGGATTGATGGGCCAAAGCCGATTGTGTGAGGGTCGAGACAAGCAGAGGTCCTGTCATGTAGTAGTGTCTGACCATGAGGCAAGAGTGTGCCCACGTGGCCAAGGCCAGCAGCATCTGGGCCTGTGTCAGCAATAGTGTGGCCAGCAGGACCAGGGCAGTGACCATTCCCCTGTACTCAGCACTGGTGAGGCCACACCTCAGCTGTGTGTCCAGTTCTGGGCCCCTCAGTTCAGAAAGGACAGGGAGGTTACTGCTGGAGTGTTAGTGCTCTCTACAACTACCCCAAAGAAGGTTGTGGAGAGGTGAGAGTTGTGCTCTTCTCCCAGGTCACAAGCAACACGAGAGGAAATGGCTGGAAGTTGCACCAGGGGAAGTTGAGATGAGATATTAGGAAAAATTTCATCACCAGAAGGGTTGTCAGGCAGCTGAACAGGCTGCTCAGGGAGGTGGTTGAGTCACTGTCCCTGGAGGTATTTAAAACACAAAGCAGCTCATATGCTAGCATGGTCCAGTGTATGCTGATATTGTTTCTGGGTGATGAACACTAAAATTACAGTTTTAACTGTGAATTTACAGAAGAACAATCAAAAGCTTCCATTTGAATTCCCACAGCTCCCCCATGCCAAATAACACATATCTGCATGATGAGGCACATTAACTCATCTGATATCAAACAGTTTTTTTCCTTGGATTAGTTTGAGTAGTGAATCAATTTCCTGATCTGGTTCAGCAGGCAGAGACAAAAATGTCTGTGTTAATGGATGTGAGCAGCTCAGAAAATGAAAATGCTTTTGATTGACTTCTACCCATTTAAAGCATATGTGAAACTACCTTAGGGATGTTATACACAGGCTGTCAGAACATATGGCCATTAACCACCAGTCCACTGGGGCTCTGGTCTCTCCCTTTCTGGGATATTTTCTTGTATTATCCAATTACTGTTTTTCATCAGAACTACCTATTAAAGTGTGCATTCACATTGTGGTCAAAGCTTACATACTGTAAGACATGATTTACCATCCAGCCCTGAAGAATTATATTACATACCCACAGCAGCAGCAGTCTATTTCAAAAATTTATTTTCCTAAACATGGCATTTCATAAATGTTTAATAAGTATATACTCTTTGCAGTACTGCTGCAGTATAATATTCACAAATATTTTGAAGTGTTGGTTATTATCTCAGCAAACACCATTAATGACTGTTTTCATTTACTAATAACATGTAAAATCACAATTCAGTGGCCACTTTAGCCCCAATAATATCATATTTGTATGAAACACTGTGATCTGCTACTGTATCAGTAACATTTATTTCATTTTGTAGACAAATTATTATAGTTGATGTGGACAAAGCTCTTTTTGCTCCAGTTGAAAAAGTCTGTGAGTAAACCATGTCATGTTTAGATATGAAAAATAGGTCAATGGCTAGTGAGATGATGCTTCCAAAAGCAGAACCTTCCCTACAGCACAGCTTTAGGAAAACATTTCATCTGACAGCACACATTCTTTTTAACAGAATCCTCTTAGTAGGTACTGGATAAAAAAAAAGTAATTTAACTGTATAAATGGACAGAGAGAAGATAGTGAGGAATGAGACTTCTTTTAAATTAAAAATGGCATAACATTTTAGGACTTCACTTGAACAAAGCTCCTTCCAATTGATGTTACCTACCTGGAGGCCACAAAAACAACCCTCAGGCAAGTTGTTTTCAGTGCCTTGGAGAAGCTGGTGAGAACAGCACATTTTTTGGAAGAAATGAACTAGGAGAGAACAGTGTATACTTGTGTCATTCTTCATACAGGAATTACCAGTTTCATCTTCTATCAAGATTAAATGACAGGCAGCACATTTGTAAATTGCTCAGCAGCTAAAACATTTACAGTCATGGATCAGAGGAGCTATTGTCCAAGGGAGGCACATTTCTCTTAATTAAAAAAAACAATCCAAGAAGCTCCTATTGCATTAGCACTTTATATGAACTTGTATCTTAAATCTTTACCAAAAATATAGCAGATAATCACACTGAAGAAAGCATTATTCTAAATTGATTGTATATATACTGTCAAATAAAACTTGTTCCTTCACCCATATTGTATTACTTACAGATAGCTACTGCCCCAGACTGGCAGCTGTTGCAAAATGAGGTATTTTTGTCTTTATATACTATATAGTCAATGGAGACATGATTCTGAGACTAGAGTTCAGCTGCAGCACACAATCCCACATTATTTAGCAGCCATAACTCTATAGTAAAAACAGGACACTCATTACCCATTCCATCTGACATGAACAAGGAACAGCTTTTCTTCATTGTGTTTCAGTGAGAAATTTTTTAGATATTCTTGGAGTAAAGGGTAAAGGAAATCTACACAGTGATTATAAATTAAGACCAGTATTGACTTTTATTTACATAGTTTAACAAACAAATTCAAGTAATTATTGCATCAATCATTCAGATTTTGAACATTACTATAAACCACAAGTTTATAGCATAGTGTTGCATTCTTCATGGAGCTGTGATTACTGTTCTACATTTTTCTTTCTCCGACGAAGCCACCTCAGAGCTCTCACCAGTGCTACTTGTCCCATGAGGAATGTGATCCTAAAGTTACGTTTATACCAATCTCTAGGATTCCAAAGCCAAGAAAATCATCAGCACACAGAACAAGAACAGGAAAAAGATACACAATTATATTAAAATATCCTTTGGCATTGACAAATGATATTTCACTGATGATCTGCATTTTCTGTTCTTTGTGGTAACGCCTTTCCTGCCTAATAAGAGTTAAATAACCAATGAAAGTCTATGTGTACATCCACATTCAGGAACAGATTACACATGGGTTACAGGGTTGCAATGGTATTTGAAATCAAGTGAGATAAAATAGTTAAAACCACGTTTCAGCAGTAAAGCAGATCACCAAGCTATCTGGACTACCTGCCAGTGCTGTGCTTCAGGTAGAATTTGTTTGTGTGTGGATGAAGATGCCTGTGTTAAAAAGGGCAGAGTTGGTCTCATACAAGGGTGGCAAAAAATAAAACCAAATCACACTTCAAAGGCTAATTATATAACCCAACATTACCCTTCTCCTCCAGTATCTTTTAAAGATAATGCTTTTAATATTGTCAAAGTTAATCATAATATCTTTAAATAATTTAATTTTTATGAATCATGCATGGCTACTGGAACCAATTAAAATTATTCACAGTATAGTCTGCATCAGCCCTTTTCAACCTCTGCAAACTTGCTTCAAGTTCTTTGCCCCTGTTACAAATTAAAATAATATCAATTTTTTTCTAGTTTCTAACAAGCATCTCATTCCCATGTTGTAAAATGCTCACAAGAAGCAATAGGATACACAGAATTCCAGAACTAGAACACTGAGATTTAGGTCTTCTCCTGAGGTGTCTGGGGCAAACCTTGCATACACAGATCTAACATAAGCCTGACATACCGACCTCTCAGTGAGGATAGCAGCCAAATTCACACTGGCAGGCAGCACTGAGCTACCTCTTCAATTGTCATGTTAAATAAAGTATCATGCTAACATTGCAACTGTTTCTTTTCCCCTTTCACATTTAATTTCCTATATCCTTCTTGAATTTTTTTCCAAAATTGAATTTTATTTCCAGTCTAAGTGCTCTGAACTAAATATTCAAGGCATCGATGCACAGTCATTGCTTCAATTTTAACTACATTTTAGAAGTTGCAACACTTCAGCTGCCAGTTTTCAGTCCAGCTGGCAATACTGCAAAAGAACATACAGCTAAATGCATAAACAGATTTTTATAAATATGACCCCTCAAAATCAGACTGCCTGTAAAAAGCTCTGCTGTTTTCAGGGCTGTTCAGTCCCACTTTGAAACTACAACAATGCAGCTGACACAACCTGATTTTACAAGTCAGCAGCAAGGAAGGTCATGTTTAAGCACAAAGCCTGAATTATCTTCCCCTGAAGATGGGACACTATCCTACACTGCAACGTGGGACACTGCAACAATGACAACTGGTAACCAGTTCTAAGATGAACTGTTTGCATTCCCACTTATCAATTACAGGAAATGTATTGACAATCCTTTCACTGGAAACAATTTCTTACTTTGCATCTTTTCACACTGTTGCTTGGAATTATGATGAAGTTCCTCCTTGCCCCTCCACGGGCAAGATAAGATGTGTATATTTAAATATTTGTTAGTTAAATTGTTCTTACAAGATAGTATTTTATGGTTTATGCACAATACATATGAAGAAACTTAAGCCACCATTTGTTACAGATCAGTTGCAGTGATGGCAGAACTCTCACTAGCATTACCCCATGAGGAACCAGTCACACCTGCCTCTTTTGAGCCCAATAATCTTCCGATCCAGTACAGAGAGGAAACTGCAGTTGTGCTTTCACATTCAGTGGTCACAATTCCTGGATTAAGTGCTGTCTTCCTTCACTTTCCCATTCCTCCCTAATTTCCAGCCCTTTTTCAAGTGTGCACAGCTACTTGCTGCGTGTATGTGTTTGCAAGTAATTTTTCACCCCTTTCAGATCCCAAATCCAGTTTGAGTTGTTGTGCACACAGGCCTTGTCAAACTCAAAAGCTGATCACTTTTTTACTAGATGCTTGCAAAATAATAGACCCAGGATTATTAAGTATTACTCCCATTAAATGATTTTCCTTTGAGATAAATCACATTTACTTGTCCTTATTTAACAGTCAGCTAGCATCTGTTATACAGAACTTTCAAGTGGTCTATTTGCATATTTATCAGCTTTAATTAGCAGCATGAAAAGACCTGTGCCCTAAGATAATAAAATGTGCCTGATCTTGTCTCTTTAAATCTCAGACTTGAGCTTATCTTTCCACTAAAACAACAATAAGCAGCAGAAATCAAATGATAAAGCAGATTTTTCAAATCCTAATAACAGCATAAAAAAATTTCAAAAATTACAGGGGTTTGTGGTGTCTTATCAATTACAGAAAAAATGTTCAAATTTTAAACTTGATCTTATACCTTTCACGTAGACTGTAACGTATAATTGTCAACATAAATACCTTCTACATACCTGTTGTACTGCAAATGCTTTTTTAAATTTTTATTTAGAAAGTCCTTGTAAAAGTCAGCCATTTCTTCTGCATTCAGTGTTGCTTTTTGACCTGAAAATAGGTTTTGGTGTAACAAAGTCAAGGCAATTATTTAGATCAAGACATTGGGCTCAGATGCTAAGTCTAACTCCTTACTCCTACAAGCTTTCTGTTAAACCTGAACAAGTTAATAATATGCCTTTAACTTTCAACCTTTTAAAACTTATCTAGAGAGCACGCAGATGAAAAATACTGATCATCTTGAAGCTGGCATAGCTCTTAAACACCTATTACTTGTGGAAGTAATAAAGTTTATCAGCTCTTAGACTACTTAGGGAACCAGTGAACGCTATTAAAATGTGCACAGATCTAGGAGTATCTATCCTTTGAATAAAATAATTTCTCACAATCTGAAGCCTAAAGAGTACCAATAAGAGCATTTAGTAACAATTTCCCCCCCTAAAGCAAGTCCATAAATATCAAAAGAACACTATCCACAATTGACATGGTATTTTCAAATGTAATTCTTTTTATATTGCTGTTAATAAATTTCAAGTAGCTGTAGGCAAAAAGTTTATGTTCTGAGATGTCAGATTCCAAACAATCTAATAGGCAATTATTTTGAGAAGCAGCAAATACAAAAGATGATTTTGAATATGTCACCCATAAGCAGAATATAAAAGGTCCAGGAAGACCTATGGCTACAGCATAAGATGTCTAATCCTGAGAACCAGCAAATATTCTCAATTCTACCAGACAACTCCTACATAACCCTTCTGGCACAAAATGTCCCTAAAATGACAGTCAAATTTAAATGCCCCAGGGAACATGGATATTATGAGGGAAATGGAATTGCAATATTCAACTTGTTACTGTTCCAAAATACATTTTAAGGCTCTTGTGATTGACCACAGAAATGTAAATTGATTGGTTCTATTTGTCACTATTTTAAAAACTAATATACCACAATGTATTAACATACTATGGTACAAATTAACTATAAAACCGTTTGAAGGCTGCCAGCTTAATACTTATAGTTCATTTGTTTCTTCATACTGGTATCAGCAAAACTGATTCATTACATAGGAAAGTAAGTTTCATTCACTCTTCATTAATTCATTCATTACATAGGAAATTAAGTTACATTCACTGTTCATTAATATTTTCACAAACATTCACAGCTGTATTATAGAATAGCTGACCAAAGGCATGCAGCTGATATACATTTATTTTTAATGGAAGTATGTGGTCATTCTCTTTTACTTCCAGAGTATAAAAGCGAAACAAAAAAAAAAAACAACAAAAAAGCAATATAAAATAAGTGGTTTTGAAACAACATAGATCTTAATTAAAATTACTTCTCAAGCACACTCTGATCACCAGAATACAAACAGAAAAGAAAAAAATGGTCTGTGACATACAGAACGTCAAAGCAGATGCTTAACTGAACTCAAACAGATCATTATTCTGTGAACAAAGTGTTCAACCTCATACCGCCATGCCCAATTCACGATTATTATGAAGGCATTTCGTTTTCATTTTCACTGAATTAGAGGGACAAATATTTTACAGCAACTGTGCCCAGGCAGAGACAGGCAGATAGCAGCTGCCATCTCCCCAGAAGATGCCTTACTCTCCCTCAAGGAAAAATATTGTATTCATTGGACACACCATGGACCTGAAGCCAAAGACTCTGAATTTATCCACTCAGCCATAACATGCACTTGAGGCAAATGCTCTGTATGTTTATCTCAGCCAGCTCACTGGCTTAGGAGGTGTGAAATTAAAAAGTCCTTCCCTCCTTAGGCTACACTATTATATTACTGGGCTAGGATTTCAGCACATTCCCTCTGGTTGTGGGGAAGGAATTAGGGGGAGAAGAGTGCAACAAATGATCTGACCCCCGCATGCATGTCTCTGAAAAGCTTCTTGTCTCTTTTATCACACTCCTGAAAACACTTCTAAATCCTACCCCTAAGATTTACTTGTGGCAGAACACAGAGCATAAACAAACAAAATTCAAAGTTAAGCAGAATTCAGAATGCATCCTGAACTATTAACAAAGATCTCACTAACCTGATTCATCTCTCATTTCCAGACCCTTGGCTTTCAGTCTTGAATACATAAATTCTTCTTTTTCCTAAAACACGTTTTTCCACATTAGAATGGGATGTAGTCAGTCCTTGAAGTTAACCATTGTTTTTAATTACATAGCAATGTCGTGTTCAACACCTTTGAAATAACTAGCAATACTTGTTACACTTGGAAGTGTCAACTAAACACTTTTCTTAGTCCAGTGAGTTAGTTAAACTGGTATCTTAGCTCCTGCTACCTGCATGCATCAATTAATTCATGCAAGTGTCCTACTGATACTTATAAAACTGATTTGTGAAGTAAAGCTACAGCTAAACTTCAGTGCTATTCAACAGGAGTCAAACTTCCAGTTTATAAAATGAACTATGGAAATGTGCTCTACGATAACTGAGATTTTGAGCATAGAGGAAAAGGTGCAGCCTAAAAAAATTAAAACTATATAGATGGAAGCACAATAATCACCTGTGTGTGTTTTACGGACTTAAACATAAGTTTTTTTAATACCACAGTTATATGGTATTAAAAAAAAAAAAAACAAGATTCATTTTTTTCTGGGATCTTTGCAAGTTTTGAGAGGATATAATGTTCAACATCATAAACAGTGGTGAATTACTGAACTGTTACTGTTCTTCAAAAAAATGCCACATTGGCTGGGAGATGCTAAAATCAGGAAAGACGCTCACTGTAGCCTTGCTAAGATATGCTGCCAATGAAATGGGACATATCATTTACCCTCATTTAGTCTTTGTAATTACATCAAATTTCTCTCACTTATGACAAGAGAAAAACCAGACATGAAATAATTTTCATCATCTGCTCTAGTCAGAGACAGGTCTTGCATGTAGGGCAGCTACATCTTTATACTTTCAGTGCAAGACAGGAAAAAGGCAAATACTCTATGCCCCTAGGCAGCAATAAAACATGGACTTTTTAGTTTTGTGCATCATTTAAATAAATGAACGATAAACCCATAATTTCCTGCATGACCCTGAGCGCATTAACAGCTGGCAGAGCCGAGCCCCACCTCAGAGAGGCCGAGCCCCCCAGTTTTGGGCAGGCAGGCGGGTGCTGAGCAGCAGCAGCAGCAGCAGCTCACCTGGTGGAAGGCGCGGTTGTGCCGTGCCCAGAAGCGCTGGTTGCTGGCCTGGGCCTCCTGGCGCGCCTCCCGCAGCCGCCGCTCCAGCGCTGACTCCTCGGGGGGCACGTAGAAGATGATGGGGCGCAGGTTGGAGAGCTTGTCTGGGGGGCCGATCCAGTCGCTGTGCGAGTACGCGGGGGGACGGAAACCCGGGCCCTGCGGAACACAGACACAAGGCATGAGCAGCACCGCCGCAGAGCTGCTGAAGAACGTCTCAATCGGAATGAACTCCCAAATGCCTCGGAACCTTAAAGCGTGCAAGCATAGCAAGTTCAGAAATAAAGCACATTTGTCTACTGTGACCACAAACAACAGCGTACATTTACAATTTACTTTTACTTACAAATGCACTACAGAGAAGATACCTTTAACTCTTACCGTGAGCATGAATCGTGAGATACTTGTTTTTTTCATTTTTCTACCACTCATACTCTGTTAAAGTATTTCACAGAGGGAACTAGCAAGTATCCAAGCTTTTTACAACGCTGATCTCTGCCCTCTGGTGACCAATGACAGCACCCGAGGGAAAAGGGTGAAACTGTGTCAGGGGAAGTTTAGGCTGGATATTAAAGGCTCTTCACCCAGAGGTGATGGTCACTGGAACAGACTCCCCAAGGATGGGGTCACGGCTCCAAGCATGACAAGCACAAGGAGCATTTGGACAACTCTCTCAATGGTGCGATTCTTAGAGCTGTTCTGTGCAGGGCCAGGAATCAAATTTCAGTGATCCTTGTGGGGGCCTTGAAACTCAGCGTATTTTATAATTCTATAATTCTACGTTTTCCTCAGCCCAGGGTTCTTCCTGCATCCATGTGCCCACACACAGGCGTGTGCCTGCCCCAGCCGGGCTCAGGAACACCTGGCGTTAGCCACCAGCCCGAACCTCAGCGCCCCTCCGACAACCAACACCGGGAGCCTCCACAAACACATCAAAAACCAGAGGCCGCGGGCACCGCGGTCTGCTCCGGCCGCCCCCGCCCGGCCGGCGTTACCGGGAGGCAGCGGAGCGCTCCCCGCTCAGGGCTCCGCGGGCCGGCGGCCCCCGAGGCTTCCCCCGCGGCCCCCGCAGGAGCTGCCGCCCCCCGCCGGGTTTACCACGCTGTCCGGCCGCTCAGCCGCGCGGCCGCTGCCGGAGGAGGAAGCGGAGGAGAGGGGGCGGCGGCAGCGGTAACAGCCCCCGGCCCGCAGCCCGCGGGCGGCCGCCATGGCCCGGCGCTTTACGGCGCTGCCGTGCGGGGGCCGCGGGCGGGGCGGGGCTCGGTCGGGGCCGGGCCCGGAGCCGCCTCGGCCTCCGCCTCCCAGTGCGCGGCCGGGCCGGGCGGGGCTCGGGCGGTGCGCGGCGCTCGGCCCGTGGCGCAGCGCCGGGCCGGGCAGCGGGGCCTCGCTGGGCGGCGGGTGAGTGAGGGAGTGGCTGCGGCGGGTCGCGGGCGCCGCGCGGGTTCGCTGCGGGGCCGGTGGGGACCGGCCTCCCGCAGGTGCCTCGGCGGCGGCCCGGTGTCATTTCCTCTTCGCGGTGCGCCGGGCTCCTCCGCGGGGGAGGCGGGAGGCTGCGGCCATGGAGGGGGCGGCGAGTCCCGAGGGGCAGCAAGGTGTGTGCGGGAAGGAGCGCTGCTCCGCGGGTGCGGCGGCCGAGGGCGGCCGGGTTCGGCCGCTGTTCCCCCCCTCGCTGCGGGTTCTCCCCTGGGCTGCGGGTGCCCTGTTTGGTCTGCGGGTGCCCTGTTTGGTCTGCGGCGGCTTCAGCTGCAGAGCAGGTGGGGAAGGCAGGGCGGAAGGCTGGGGGTGAACATCTTAGAGCTGAGCGTGTGGCAACTAAAGCGTCCCCCCTTTAGAAAGGTGTAAAAAAATTAAAGGGTGGTGAAACATCAGCCAAGTGGTTTATTTGTATTGGGGAAGATAATTAAAATAGCTGTAATGCTGAAGTGCATCAGAATGTAAAAGTTGTGATGCGTGCTCGTGTAGCACTTAAGTCTTGTTATCGTTTTCCTTGTAGTTCATCTGAAGCTGGACGAGCGAAGAGGAATGGATATGGGTAACCAACACCCATCCATAAAACGGTTACAAGAAATACAGAAAGAAGTCAAAGAGATTGAACAGCAAGTGGCTGGCTTCAGTGGTCTGTCCACCGACCGAGATTACAAGAAATTGGAAAGAAGCCTTACGAAACAGCTGTTTGAAATAGATTCTGTAGACACCGAAGGGAAGGGGGATATTCAGCAAGCCAGAAAGCGAGCTGCCCAGGAAACTGAGAGGCTGCTGAAGGAACTGGAACAAAATGCAAACCATCCGCGCAGACTGGAAATAGAGGCTTTATTCAAGGAGGCACAGTCACTTGTGGAACGCGAGATCACACCTTCTTACAAAGGAGAAAACCATATAAGTGATGAATTTGAAGAAGGAATTCAGGACATTGTGCTGAGGCTTACCCAGGTGAAAACTGGAGGGAAAGTTTCTCTACGCAAAGCGAGATACCGCACTCTGACAAAGATATGTACTGTTCAGGAGATTATAGAGAGTGGTCTAAAGCAACAGCTGTCCCTGCCACTCTCTAATGATGCTCATCCTTCTGTCTCCAAAATTAACTCTGTAATGTGTGAAGTGAACAAAGCCAGAGGAACTCTCATTGCGCTTCTAATGGGAGTGAGTAGTAATGATACCTGCAGGCATCTGTCCTGTGTGCTGACAGGCCTCATTGCTGATTTGGATGCTTTAGATGTCTGCGGTCACACGGAAATAAGAAACTACAGAAAGGAAGTAGTAGAAGAGATCAATAAATTGCAGAAATACCTGGACTTGGACGAAGAAGCAGATTCTAGTCATGCTTATGATTTGGCAAAAAATCAGTCCATTCTAAAAATAGAAGAGATCCGTAAGAAGATGAAGGAAGTTAATTCCTTACTTCTAAAAACAGAGAATGCTTCTGATTTGTATCTGGGATCCAAAGCAGAGTTGCAGGGACTAATTGCCCACCTAGATGAAGTGAGTCCAGGAAAAAATCCCTGTATTAGAGAGGCCAGGAGAAGAGCAGTAATTGAAGTTCAGACTCTTATAACATATATTGATTTGAAGGAAGCACTGGAAAAAAGGCAAATGTATCAAGAGCAAACTGCTGCTGAACATCAGTCTCATAAAGCAGTTTGGACTGTACTTGGAAACTTGTCTCAAATTCAGAAAGAGGTGATTTCATTTGATGGAAACAGAACAGATAAAAATTACATGAGACTGGAAGAACTTCTTACAAAACAACTTCTAGCCCTGGATGCTGTTGATCCACAAGGTGACGAGCGGTGTAAGGCTGCTAGGAAGCAGGCAGTAAAGCTTGCACAGAATATTCTTTACTATCTGGACATGAAAACAGATGAATGGGAATACTGAAACAGCCATGGCCTGATACAGAAGAACATTTTTCCCTTTGGCACTTTATGAAGATCATTGGCAGCACATAATAAAGTCTTCTGTGCTTGCTGAAATCATGGAAATTGCATAAGCAGTTGACTTGGCTATATGTCTGCTATCCCACGCAGTCACCCACTTGCCATGGCAACTGTCAGTACACCATCAGCAATTCTGGTCACTGATATAAGCAAAGTGCAATTCTCTGAAGGAATAGCTTAATACTTGATCAAATAGCTTCTTCTTTTTTCACTTTTTCTTTCTTGTTTTTATTTCAATTGCCTTGTGCAATGTTCAGTGAATGCAGGCTTTACAAAGACACAGAAACTTCCTTACGGTACAGTACTGGCAAAACTACTTAAGGAGACTTGAAAATTAGTGAACATGAAAATTAGTATTCAGGCATGAGGCTCCATCCAGCAACTTCACAGCAGTCTGGATGTACTGTTAATGTGCTGTCATGACATAAAGTTCTAAGGACAAAAAGCCTGCTGGCTTTTGGATTGTACTTGATTTTTCCCATCCATCATGCCATCTAGATATCTCAGTTAATGGAGCTGTAATGCCAGCTGCAAATTAGCATTTACATAGGCAAAGCCAATTATGTCAATTTTTGTAATACCTGAGCCCTTTGATTTGCAAAACCAGGTCTTTTGTTGGTGGAAATTCTTTCAAGTTATTGCTTTAAGGTACTGAGACTTGGAGAGGAAAATCTGTACGTTTATACCAAACACATAAAGGGGATTTTGAGGATTTCAAACTGCCATCCATAAACCCTTGAAAACTGCACTGAAATTTATTTAGGCTGATTAGGTGTCTTTTTAAACTCTGTTGTTGCATCTGGTTTTCACATTTGGCAAAAACATAAAAAGAGACTTCACTTTGAAGTGAAATGTGCATTTTGGAATTATTTTTGTAAAATTAGGTAGCCAGCTATAAAGCTGTCCCTAATGATATAAGTGTGTGCTACATGGTCAGGCGTGGCTTCAAGCATGTCTTGGAAAGACTTGTGGCAAATGTCTCTCTTTGCAACTCATTCACTTGTTTTAGAATAAGCTTGCTTGTACTGTTGTATGCACCTACCTTTTTATTTGTGGCTGCTAGTGCCAATCACATTTCTACTATAGCATGTTTTTTGGCATTTTTAGAGAGCATGGCATTAAAATGATTTGAGTATATATAGATATATATAAAGAATATAGATATATATATAAAGATATATTCAATTGTGGATAATTTGCACTCAGCTCTTTCAGGATGAACTAATGAATTAGTGTTCTATAGATGATGATTTGCACCACTTTAAGGAGTAAAAACCGTTTCAGATGTTACAATAAATATTTTTAAGATCTATTTTTGACTGATTGGAGAGGACAGTACTGTCTGTGAGAGACAAGTGCCTTTATGACACTGCTAACTTGCACCGTCATATGTAGATATAGGAACTCTTTACTGGCAGCTTGATACATTTGTAATCTTTGCAAACTGGATTTTTTGGGTTTATATCTAATTCTGCTGTGGTATATGTCAAGCTAACATAATACAATAGGTGACAGTTGCCCTATAGAGTCCTGAGAATGAGTATCAAATTTAGGAAATACGCATTCTGCTTGAAAACTAAAGCATTGGTGTGGAGGTGGGGGACTTTGGGCAGGTCTTCTGTGCCTATTGCTACAAGAATAATGTGTTTGTTCATAACATACTATGAGATGTTGATTGAAGGCTGCATACCTTCGGAGTGTGAATAGATTTTGTTTGTGATTGTGCAGGTGATTGCTTTGCAAATCTACTCACCAAAACCAATGTAATTGAGTACAGTGCCTAAGGCACAATTTGGCAATGACAGAATGTTTGTTGGAGGATTCTTCCTGCTCCTTCAAAGACATAATCCCATTCAGTTTAACTCTCCTTCGCTAAAAAAAAATCCCTAATTAAAATTTCAATCTCTGTTTGAATATTATGTTGCTAACACAGAATATTAATAGTGTTATACACCTGAATTATTTTACGCATTTCAAGCTCTCTACATGTTTGAATTGCAACTTGTGATTTGCACTTACATTTTTAGGAAAGATAAGGATTTGATATTGTAATGATATTAATAATTTTCTTTAGTATTACTGTCAGGTCTGCAGTGGTTACTTGTAGTTTGTTTAAACAATTCAGTGTCTGTGTTCTCTGGCAGATACATGTAGTTTTATAAGCGTTTGAGCCTCTTATGTAAAAGTGAGTAAGTATAGTTACCAGATCTGTTCTATTTTAAATGTGTCCTTTAGTTTTCCTGAATGAATTGTTATGCCTGCATCTCTAAGAATGCAAATGTGTAAAGGTAATTTGACTGAGTCCAGTAGCAAGATATTATGTGGATTAAATTTTTTTCCTTTTTTCGGTACTCTGATAAATTGACTATTTCAATGCTATGGTAAAATCCTCATATGGAATGGGATTAATTCACAGTTTTTGCATGAATGAAAGTAATAAAATTTATGTGCTTAACCAAAAAAAAGGCAAAACAAAAAAACCCCAAAAACAAAATAAGAGAAATGCACAAGTTTCTCAAAATTTGCTTTTATGCTGAAGAATGTAATTTC